TATTATAGTTCTCCTTCTCGCAAAGTTGCGCCTCGCAGGTTTATGTAATTCATCAACAATCTGTCTTTTGGTCACACTTATTTCCATTATTGTGCTATTTCTCAACCTCCGAACACTTGCGATCTCTTTGGTTCGCATTGATATACTAATGGTCTAGCTGTTTTAAATTGTGGTTATATATATATATGGTATCAATACACAATACCTTCTTCACGTAACTCCTCAATGATTGAGACTATTTCATTATCGTGCCCAGTATGACCAGCCATTTTCGACCCATATAATAGTCGAAGGCGGTCCACTAATTCAGCAGCCTCATTCCAATAGACGTACTCTTTCAGATGATTACTAGCAATCTTTTTAATAGATTCTGATTGCTTTATTCCCCCACCACCTTTCACTTTACGCTGCTGCTGACTCCTCATGTTAGGCGGTGTGCTAATTATTGGTTTGATTATTTGTAGATATTTCTTCGATTTCGTACTAGCATTCAAGCCTTCGCGTATATCGTAATCCTTATATGGCGCCCTTGTAGTTTGTAGTAAATCAGCGTATAATCGCATGTCTCGATCATCGACAGATCTTGGTACATGTTTCATGAATATAAGATTGTATAATTCATATGTAGCTGGAAACATCACACTCTTCTTCTTACTACGCCATAATTCAATTTGTCCATGAGGAAAACGAATTTTCATGTTACCCATCATCATGTCTCCCGTAGTAGGATCAATGCGAACGCCATATGTGGTATCATAATTGGGGTCTTTGGATTTCAAATTTTTCAAATGCTCTTTCAACTGTTCATCTAATCCACTAATGATTTTGCTGCCAGTCGGTGTTTTATCGAATGGCATGAGTGAAGATGATGATGATGATGATGGTGGTGGTGTATCCATCATGGTCACATAATTAGATCTCCCTTCTTCTTCACGTGATGGAATTTCAGCGAAAAAACTATGTGGTTTTATTGTGCTTTCAGGTGTTTCCATAGAATTTGATTCATTTCCCGACATTGGTGTGGAATGGAGTGTAGGTTTCATCATGGTTGGTCTACGTTGTTTGGTGATACTTTTCATTGTCGTTGCTGGAATATGGTTACTCATAGAGGTTGCTGCCGCTTTTGAAATTGTGTTCAAAGGTTTCATCAGTGGTTCATACATTTTTTCCAGCACTATTTGATTACCTATACGATCACTCTTGAGACTTTTGAACTTTTTTCTCACTGCATCAGTTGCTTCAACGAGTTCTCGTTTGAGGTCAATTTCAGATGCCATTTCAACCTTTTTATCATTAGATGTGCTCATTGTCGCTTCTGGAGATTGAATGAATGGAATGCTGCTGAAATATTATGGATATATGAAGTTATCGAATCCTTTTCTATAGCGCCGCCCCTCATGGATTTCACTATCCTTATCGATAACAAGAAATCCATATTTATCAGTCCAACTTTGTGCACACATATCTTGAAATTGTTTGAATGTCACATCTGGGGATACGTGATCGGAAAAAATGTGGTGTAGATTCATGTCATCCTGTTTGAACATCACAATGAAGTTAGAATTGTCTCGAATAAGCTGTTTAGGCACTCTAGAATATGTCTGCGCCAAATAGAAACAATCCACGCTCTTATGTCGACCCATGGAGAAATACGACCTTATTACATCTTGTTTTTCGCAAATGACATCGTCGAAAATGAAAATACTATCAGGTTTGGCGTCTGCCGGTTCCACTATATCCACATTATTGTCGAAGGTGTGGAATCCTAGCCCTTTTATTGGCTCCAAAACTTTTCTTAGATATTCATACTTGGGTTGGTATAATGATTTTGAGTAAATGTAGATATTGGCGAATCGTAAACCATTTTCATTGGTGAGTAACGATATCATGACATTCGTTTTACCACAATTCGATGGACCTATTATGAGCCCGCGTATTGTATTTGGGAATAACACCCCATGGCGACGTTGTTGTATGATGTTATTTCCTAATCCCACTTTTTCATCGAAATCATCCACATTGAATATTTCTGTCTGTTGAACAATCCGCATTGTATGGTGGTTAGATGGTATATAAAGAATCACAACCTGTGTTCGACTCATTTATATTATGACAGCGAAACGTTGCACATCGATAAAGAATAATAATAATAATAATAATAATAAAGGGAGAAGAAGCAGACGGGGAAAGAAAAAGGGTGGTGGAGGAATTGTTAACACTATAATCAATAAGTTACCATTCGAATTACACATTCCTGGAGGCTATCAATATTGCGGCCCGGGAACACGCCTACAGAAACGGTTGGCTCGCGGTGATCCAGGAATAAATCAATTGGATAGAGCCTGCAAAGAACACGATATTGCATATCTCAAATATCCAAGCGACCTATCTGCCAGGCATTCAGCCGATAAAAAATTGGAAGAAGCTGCCTGGGAGCGGGTCAAATCAAAGGACGCTAACGTGGGGGAGAGGACTGCATCTTGGTTAGTTACCAATATCATGAAGGGGAAGAGGCGTTTTGGTATGGGGTGCAGTGATGGAGTGAAGCAGCGTAGAGTGTTGAGGAAGAAGAGGAAATCAAAGCGTAGTAGAAAAATCGCATTTGGTTCTGGTATAGTTCACAAAGTTCGCAATGTGGTAAACCGAATGGGTAAAAAAAGTGCTATCATCAAAAACTTAGCCAAAACTTCATTGATGGCGATTGGGGCTGCTCGAAAGTTTGTGAAAATTGCTGGTGGAAAAAATAATATCCGAACACCTAGAATAATACCAATTCCTAAGGTTGGTGGAATTCTCCCGCTTATACCCATTTTCGCGGGTTTATCGGCATTAGGTAGTTTGGCTGCGGGGAGTGCCGGTATAGCACGAGCCATACAATCCGCTAAAGAGAGTAGAGAGCAACTCTCCGAAGCAAATCGGCACAATAAGCATATGGAGGCGATCGCAATCGGAAAAGTTGGTAAAGGAGTCTATTTGAAGCCATATCGAAAGGGATTAGGTATCTATCTAAAACCCCATAATTCAAAAAACTAGATGATTTACCTCGGAGGGCTTTAACAGACATTGATCTAATAAAGCAGATAGATAGAATGAAAGTACCACACTTCCGAGGTATATTTATGAGAGATAACCTACCCAATTCCGGGCCAATGCGTATAGAATCAGCTATTCTGAATTTAGATAGCAGCAAAGGCAGTGGCACACACTGGGTTGCATATAAGAAACGTAATAGTGTAGTGGAATATTATGATAGCTATGGAGATTTACCACCCCCAAGGGAGTTAATAGAGTATCTGAAGAGGAGATCGAAACCGTCAAATGATATGAAAATCGTATATAACTACGAGCGACATCAAAATTATAATACAGTGTGGTGCGGTCATTTGTGCCTGAAGTTTCTCTCCGCAAATAGTTAGAGAAAAATACTATAATATGGATAGAGAGAGCATCAAACGAATGGGTCACTCATTACTGGCTTACTCAAGAGTGCGCTCTTTGTTGAAAATGAGTAGAGCGCAACTTGCCGACATGCCGAAGGAAGTCATCATCAGCTGCGCACCGCATGAAATAGCTTTAGTGTGGGAAAAGTTACCTGAACAATTACAGAACGATCCTGATATATCAAAATATCAATTTTGTATGGAACACTTCACGGAGGAGGAGGACAGCCAACATAGCGTTGATGCTAATGATGGACCAGTGCCGAGAAGATTATTCTGCTGTTTTTGCCAAATTAAAGATGTAACTGTTGTAGCTGAAAATAAATTTGATATTAATAATTAACTTTGCGAAAACTATGGCATTCTTCATTGTTGCAAGCAGCGATAAGGTTGTCGCTGTTGCTGCTGCTACATACATTGATGTTTGCCACAGTTTTCATAGTCTTTGATTAATCATGTCGCAAACTTTCACCATATCTGGGGATCGTAGTGTATTGAGCGCCAACTTTTATCCACCTATTGAACTCGATGCGAGGAAGACCTATGGATTAGGATTGCATGGTTTCTACTCATACAACTCCATACTCAATATAGATGAGCAGAATAATCGATTGGGTATCAAGTTCGGACCTACTTTCACACATGAAATGATTACGATACCACCGGGTGCTTATGAAATAGATGAGATCAATAAAGCTTTACAAATGGCTATAGCACGTAGGATATCATTGAATGGAGGGAGTATGGATGGTGTATTCTCTCTCCGTGCTAATAATAATACCATGAAATGTGAAATGAGTAGCATGTATGAGATAGATTTGGCGTCTGACACATCTTTAGCAAGTGTTTTGGGATTCGAGGAGAAAAAATATTCAGCCAACGTGTTGCATGAATCCACATTACCTGTGAATATAATAAAGGTGCGCCTCATAAGGGTGGATTGTAACATTACCACAGGAGCATTCCTCAATGGGGAGGAGGTACATACGCTATATGAATTCGACATCGATGTGGAGCCTGGATATAAGCTATCAAAGGAACCGCAAAATATTATATATTTACCCATCAGACGGACTGGGTGTCAGTTCATCGACAACATTACACTGAGAATATTGGATGATAGCGGACTCTTAGTCAATTTTCGTGGAGAAAAAATCATTGTAAAATTGGAATTGAAGCAGCTTACGTAACAATCCATCATTCCAGAAGGAAAATGGGGTTTTGTTTTGGGAACCAATCAAAACATATGTTCAGAACTGAAACTGCCACCTACCGTAAAAATATCAATAAGAAGAGAATGAAGAATGGTGATGTATTCATTCGTACAGAACCACCCAAACGAGTCAGACATAGGTTGTCTGCAAACGATATACACTTTTTGCAATCCATTGGTCTGAAGTTGCGTTGAATAGCAAAAAAAAAAATTAGCTAGATATAATGGTTGTTACATCGTCTATAAGCAGCACACAATTGGAAGTGTTTGATGAGCCGATTTTGGATCATTCCCTGATCAGTCTACATGAACACACATACAAACCATATGGTTCACCATCATTCAAGAACTCGGATGAAATAAGGATCGCCGTCAACTTCCAAGATTTACTACTCGATATTTCAGAAAGTTATATCTATATTGAGGGAAAATTCACGCCGAATGATCCTACTAAAACATGTTATTTATCCAACAATGCTTTAGCATTCCTTTTCGATGAAATACGTTATGAGATGGGTGGTGAACAAGTATGTATGATTCGAAAACCCGGCATCACCACAACCATGAAAAGTATGATTTCCTATAGTGAGGTGAATGCAAAATCCTTAGAAACAGTTGGATGGGGTCTAGAAAATGGGAAACAGTGTATTTTAGATGAAGCTAGCCGCGTGTTTAGCGGTAAGCTACCTCTCAAATATCTGATGGGGTTTGCTGAAGACTATAAAAAAGCGATTCTAAATATCAAGCAAGAGTTGATCCTCATTATAGCTCGTTCATTCAAGAATTCCTACATGGGAGAAGTTGATGCCGCATTGGAGATTAACAAAATCGAATGGAAGATAAGGCATGTGGCACCATCAGATAAACAGAAATTGAAGTTGTTGAATCGTTTGAATAGGAGCACCACTGCAAGAGTAAAAATTGCGTACAGGATGTGGGATCTTTATGAGCTACCAACAATCCGTGAAACAGCTTCCGATATTTGGGCCGTTAAAACAACCAATAGTCTCGAGCGACCGCGATTTATCATCATAGGATTCCAAAACTCCTCGAACACAGATGACAGGTCTAAGGATGTCACACAGTTCACCCATGCAGGAGTTAACAATATTCGTCTGTATCTGAATTCGGAAGTTTATCCATACGAACGATGGAACTTGGATTTCGATAAGAAATTGGATGCGGTAGCCTACTATGCATACGAAAATTTCCAGCGTAGTTACTATGGGAAAGATATGGGTGAACCAATGATGAGCATTGAAGAATTTCGCGCTAACCCGCTATTCATCATAGATTGCAATCATCAACCCGATGCAATGAAATCCTCAACTGTCGACATCAAGTTAGAGTTCGAAACACGTAAAACGAAGTTTCCATCTCACATCAAAGTTTACGCACTGATTCTCCATGATGCATATTTGACTTATAGTGCATTGGACGGTTCCATTCAGATGGGTGCTATATAAACACTTGAAATGCATCGTCAATACTTTTATGTTTATAACATTGGTTGTTTCTCGAAATATGTTGTAATACTAAATAAAAACCGAATGTGTTGAAAATGTTGCTTTATTTCACACTCCAATTAATTATCATCAATATATACAATGAACTAAGAGGATTCTTCAGCATCAGACGTCTCTGGAGTTATACCAATACTATATCTTCGAACGAGGTGGTTTGGTAGGAAATCTGAAATTTCATAAAGGAATTGCACCAAGTCCTCTTCAACCATTGCTTCCACGAATTCCTCAACATTAATGTTTCCATATTCGAATCGAGCACATAGTAGGAAGCCCAATTTGTATTGATTAGCTTGATTGTAGAGTCGTTGAACTTGTTCCTGATCGAAGCATACTCTCGTGTCATAATTCATTTCATATAGTGTTTTCTGCTCCAACTCAGTAAATCGGCATTTCAACCTCCTCACACCTGAGGTGATATCTTCCGCTATCGGCCTTGATTGACTGGTATAATGCATATCTGGATCATTCATCGGAAAAGTCTATGTATCCTGCAAAATAAATACATATTACGCATGTGATCGATGTTGGGTATCAGCTATCGATTCATGATATTTCTATGACATATCACTCACCATAATAATAATTTTCATCATTATCAATACGTGGTAAGTGTGAGTATGTGATATGTAAGGTTTACTATATAATATCCATGTCCCTTTCTAATATATATACTAAATCTATCGAATAAAATTAACTATTGAATGCTAATTATAATTATTCATACTTTTTTGCAATCAAATTTAATGAGAGCTCTGGTCTTGGCACCAGCAAATATTGGCTCACTTTGCCCCAAGTACGTTAGAGTATAAGACCCATTAGAAGAATTCATCTCATCGATATCGTTGTCTGTCAATTGATCTACAACTCTCTTCGGTAGCCAACATTTCAAATTCACTTCAGTCTCTTCATCATACAGAATCACAGTACCACTTCTACCGAATCTAGTTCCACATATGGAAATTTTATTGATTGTGTAACACTTATTGAGGGGTAGTGATGAAATTAAAATTTGCTTGATCATTTCATTATCTTCATTGATTTTTTTATTGATTGCGACCAAATCAATTTTTGCTACTGCCATTATTCCTCGAAGGTGAAAGGGGACTGGAAAGTATATGAATAAACGTACTTACACAAAACAGATCACCTCTTAGCACACTGAAACTATTCTAGGTAGGTATAATATTCAATATTATTACGAGAACTGTGTTCCGGTTAGTCGGCGAGACCGTATTTATAGAAATTAGGCATGTGGCGTTTCACACCCCACTAATTCACTAAAATGCCTCCAATAGGAAACAAGGTCGACAACGATTGAGTGTATGCGCATACAAGGTCGGGCATTCCACCCAAGGTTTCTCCTCTCAAGGTTACCCTTCTTCTCAAGGACATCACACGAGGTCACTCCCTCTCCCAAGGTCGACTCAGTCTTCAAGAGCGTCAACCACTCCTCCCTCAAGGTCGATCTCAAGGTCACCTCCCCCAAGGTCACTCCCAAGGTCACTCCGCCCAAGGTCACCTCCAAGGTCACTCCCGCCCAAGGTCACCTCCAAGGCCACTCCGCCCAAGGTCACACTCCTCTGGCCTTGGGCGGAGACCCAGAACCGGTGAAAACTATCTACTCAGGCATTAAATAAACCTCGGAATAGTGCAACTTTTCTCTCGAATTCCACTAAACAATTCTGTCAGGTTTGTCAAGCTGACCATTTAATTTATAATTGTCCCACATTCATTTCGAAAAGTACAAAGGAAAGATATGCTATGGTTAAAGATAATAGATGGTGTTCGAATTGCTTGGGCTTCAAGCATTCCTCTTCAAAATGTACTTCTGATATATCATGCCAAAAGTGTTCCCTCAAGCATCACACTATGCTTCACTTTGAAAACCACTCCGTTCCCCGCGTCGTGTCACAAAATAACGTTCACTCATCCACGCATACCCCAACGCCTGTTACGCCTATGTCTCCAACCCAGCCTTTCGTCGCTTTATTTTCGCATGAAACTGGACAAGGTTTTTCGTCGACTGTATTACTTGCGACTGCTCTTATCAATGTAGCCGAAGTAAATGGTGAATTCCACACGTTTCGGGCTATTCTCGATAGCGCTAGCCAGTCTAATTTTGTTTCTAATAAATGTGTTAGGAAATTGGGTCTCAAGCCATATAATTCAGAAATTTCTATCAGTGGTATCGGAGATATCAATTCAAATTCGTCACGCTGCGTTTCATGTACTATAAAACCTGTAATTTCTGATAATCCAGTTTTCACATTAGATTTTATTATTTTACTCAAATTATTGTAGTCTTATTTTGTCAGGGCGACCACGAAAACACTTGTGAGCGATTACAAAAACATTTATTGGTGTACTTGCACAGATTACACGTTAAAAACTCAGCCTAAAATATAACATGCCACCGGCCATTAATTAAAATCGACAACTGTCCTCTGCTCTGTACTGAGCATGCGTTTTCCAAAACATCGTCATTAGCTTGATGTTCTCACGTGAACAATGAAATAGGTAATTGAGGCACCTATGCATAGGCAACACTTATCACGCCTGTGTGAATATAAAAATACCTCAGTTCGGCCTTTCCTGTTTTAAAGACGTCCTCGTCATTAACTCAAAAATATTTGTATATTTTAATTCTCAACATCTCAGTGCAGTGCAGAGCAATTTTAACGCTTATACATGTAGGTACATGTTATTCGAAACATAAGACAAGAAAATAAACATTTTCATAATGCACTTGAACACTGTTCCACTCATATTTTAATCACTGAAACGGAACGTCTCAGGGGTTGAGTGGGGTTGGAAAAATAATTCGGAATAATAGGCGGAGATTTGGCTTTTATTATTCAATGGCAGTTTTGGGGGAAATTGTTCAGTATCACCTTCGTCTGAAATAACATAACAATGTAGTACCCTATCGTACAGAATAAAATGATTTTCGGTGTTCATAGCAAAAAGGTAGTTGTGCCGAAAATCACACTCTCAACAATAACATTTGAAAATTTCACAGTTATCAAAAGTATTGAATATACAAAATACAATTATCACACAGATTTCCTTACCTGAAATAACATAACACCAGGTAAAAATCACAATAAATTGTATGAACAAGAATTAGCGATTTCAAATACCAACAGGGTTGCTACTTAATCAAATACCGAAAATGAACTGCCTGTATTCGAAAAGAATGAGTACCGCAGTGGTTTTTCTGAAACATAAAAACTAGACCCTAAATATCGCGAGATATCGTGCATACTTACTAGAAACTAGACTGATATCCATATATAGAGCTATAGGCAACTTATGTTACATTTAAGTGTGTTGTTGGTAAACTATTCTGCTTCAACTACCCCCCGAAGCTGTCAATCCATCCTATACTGGGTTTACGGCTTCTGAATAATAAATTTCTTAAGGTGACTGGCATGGAAAATTCCTCTCTCTACGCCACTGTCTGGGTTAACCAATACATACGTCGCATAACTAATCTGCTTTTTTATCTGATAAGGGCCTTCGAACAATAATAAAAACTTTTTGGTCTCTGAGGCAAGAGCAGAAGACTTGGGATTTGATCTTAATAACACCAAATCCCCTGGACTAAATTCTGAAAAAGGCCTTCCTGGATTATTTACACGTCTACGCGCGGCCTTACCCTCTAAGGTTTCCCGAGCGATGATTAATTTATCATTGGGGACAATAAAGTCAGGATTGGGTGGACGAAAACGAGGTGGTAGCAGGTTTTCTCGCCGATTTCCGAACTGGAGTTCATTTGGGGTGAACCCAGTTGATTCATGAGTTACGTTGTTCATGAAATTACCAAATTTAACAACCTCAAATGCCCAACGAGTGTGCTTATCATGACAGTATACACGAAACAGTCTTCCCAATTCCCTCATGACACGCTCGCTAGGGTTTGCCTCAGGATGTCTCACAGAGGTGTAAATCACGCGAATGTCAAAAGCATTTAACGCTTTCTTCCAATTTGGGGAAGAAAATTGTGTTCCTCGATCAGACAAGATTTTTTTAGGGATACCACAATTTGGAAAATAGTCCACGGTTAGCCGGTTCAAGCAAGAACGCGTCGTGGCAGTTTTAAGAGGATATAACGCAACGTGTTTTGTAAAAATATCCAAGACCACTAAAATATAGGAGGCACCTGCGCGACTGCGGGGAAGTGGCCCAAATAAATCGAGCGCAACAAGATCCCCCTTTGATTTAGCTAAAATTGGGTGCTGAGGCGGTTTTGGCAAAATTGAATTATTTTTCGTTTTTTGACAGATTTCACACGCTTTGATTACGCGTTTGACGTCGCGAGATAGATTGGTAGCCCAAATTTCGCGTTTAAGAGCAGACCAGCACTTATAGGTACCAAAATGTCCTAACGCAACATGAAAATCTTCAATGAAGGTATCTTTAAGCACGGTCGGGATACACAGTAAACTATTTTCTTCATCACTCCTACGGTGGTAAAGAATATCATTGATCAAAACAAATTTGGAGGATAACGAATCACCTGCTTGGAGAGATTTCCGGATGCTGGACAGTTTAGGATCCTCAAGTTGGTACTGCTTGATTTGCTTCAACATTGACATACAATTTTCAGGTAATTTGAGACTAAAAATTTGGAAAGTTTTGTCGTTTGGAGTAGGAGCTCTTGTACAAGCGTATCGCGAGAGGCTATCAGCAATTAAATTATCACTACCACGTATGTGCTTGATTATAAAATCATATTCTTGCAAAGCTAGAGCCCAACGAGTAACTCGCGGAGATAGTAATCGGCAACTATTCAAATAAGTAACCGCTTTGTTATCGGTGTGTACTACGAAAGTACGGCCGAGTAAGTAAACACGCCAAGTCCTCAGCGCGAATACCACAGCCAAAACTTCTTTTTCAAAGCTACAATAACGCCGTTCTCTTTCCAGTAGAAGCCTACTTGCCCAAGCGACAGCTTTGCGTTCCCCACCAATGATCTGAAATAATTGCGCCGCGATACCTACATCACTGGCGTCGGTTTCGACTTGAAACGTGATTTCAGGGTCGGGAAAATATAATAAAGTGGCAGATTTGATTTTTTCTTTTATATTATTGAATGAGTACTCTTGTGTTGAGCCCCATTTCCAGGGAGTTTTTTTTCGTAGTAAGGAAGTCAGAGGTTCGCTGATTTGAGAAAAATGCGGACAAAAAGATCGATCGAACTGGCAGAGACCTAAAAATTTTTGGAGTTCTGTAACATTTTCCGGGGCTTTATAATCGACGATCGCCTGTATTCGGTTGGGATCGGGTAGAAAACCCTGTTCATCCAGGACATAACCTAAAAAGTTTATTTTTTTACAAAAGAAATGGCACTTTTTTAGCTTGAGAGTCAAGCCGTTCTCCTGAAAACGTTCAAAAACTAGTTTCAGGTGTAATAAATGGTCCTCGAAAGTGTCGCTCAGTATTAACAGGTCATCTACATATGCAATGAGAAAATCGGAAAATTCGATACCAAAAATTTTGTCAATGCACCGAGTGAACGCCGAAACAGCATTCACCAAGCCAAACGGGAGAACGTTAAAATAATAGCTTCGGTTTCCGAAAACAAATCCAGTATACTTACGACATTCGGGGCGGAGGGGAATTTGCCAGTAAGAATTATTCAAGTCCAATATGGTCTTGTACTTGAACCCTTTCATCGTCCTCATAATTTCATCTATTCTACGTGGAAGTTCATGATCTTTTTCTGTGATTTTATTTAATTTACGCGCATCGAGACAAATTCTCACCGAACCGTCTTTCTTCAGGGTAACCATGAGCGGCGAAACAAAAGGGGTTGCACCCCGCGAAATTACCCCCCACTCCTCCATCCGATCAATGGTCTGTTGCACTGCTTCCCGATGAGCTAGAGGTACCGGATATGGTTTAATAAAAAATCCACTGTCATCAGTCAGTCTAATATCGTGATAATATGATTTGGTTAATCCAGGTTTATTCGTAAACACGGAATCATATTTTTTAATCAGCTGAAAAAGAATCTGCTGTTCGTACTCAGAGAGACACCCTGTATGCGGAATTTGAATATTTGCATCCAAACTAGAAATGTTTTCATTTTTAAACAGGCGTTCTACGGATACTTTTTTTTCTGAAATGGTTCTTATATTCGGAGAATTAGGAGGACATGTCTCGTGAAAAACCGGTATATCTGGTAAGCACAATCGCTCATTTTGAATAGTTAAAAAACATTGTTCTTCATTCAGCTTCAACTCCGCGTTGATGGACCTTAAGAAATCAACACCTAGTATGACTGGATAAATTAATTTAGGGATCATTAAAAATTCGAAAGTAAAATTTCTTCCCAGAATGGAAAAAGTTAACTGTACCTGCAAGTTTACTTTTTGTTGAATGGCCTTGAAAGCGCCGGAAATTCTTACACCGCTACATGGAAAATGCGGTATAATATCATGGAAACTAGAAAGTTGACTCCAAATAGTATCTGATAAACAACAAACTTGACTGCCTGTGTCTATCAGCGCTGGAAAACTAAAATTGTGAATTTTTATAACAACTAGGGGCGATTTGTCGTTCAATAAGTTATGATCAAAATCACAATCATCTACAAACAAATCATCACGTGGATTATTATTATTTACAAAAGCATCGGCCTTTAGGAGCACTCCAGTTACATCAGGCCGTTTTGGTAACTGTCCTGCTCGTTTCCCGGCTCCTCGCTTTCTTCCACTGTTACCATTGAAACGTTTTTTGAAAAGGTTCCGGTTTTTTGACAAGTATTAGGTTTGTTTTGATTATAATTTGAATTTTTATTTTCGACTGCTGTACCAGAATAATTTGATCTACGGACTGGGCGGTTTATTTGGCCAGAATGACCTTGACCATTATGATAATATATGTCGGCTCGTCTTAAATGTTCCAACGCTTGAGCAAAATCATCGCATTGTAACAGTAAAGAAGATACCTGCGGTGGTAATGTTCTCGCTATCGTAGCGAGTAGCATTTTTTCTGGGTAGGGGGGAGTCAAATGCTTAGCTAATACCAAAAAACTATTGAAAAAATCAACAAATGATTCACCTTCTTTGTAAATTTTTGTTTCTAAATGGGTTCTCGCACGCCACTGTGCATGATCATCCCAGAAATTATTTAAAAATTGAGTTTTAAATTGTGAGTAATTTTCGAATTTGTCTAGGAATGCATCTGCCCATATTTTTGCTGAGTTCCTGAATGAGTCTGCTACTAAGAATTTGAAATGTTTATATTCAATGTTTTCAACATTAAATCCATCCTGGAGTTGATTCAGAAAATCCACTGGGTGTGTATAATTTGGATCAAAAATAGGATTTTTCCTGTTGGTAGCAGAAAAATTACAAACATTATTATTTGAAACCTCATTCTGATTTGACCTATTACTTGAAATATTGACATTATTTTGTAGTTGTTGAATTGTTTGGGAAACTAGCTGCGTTATGGCCTCAGGAGTTATCAACAGCATTTGTTGGGGATGATTCCTTTGGGTTGCATTCGTTCTGAGATTACTCGAAAAGTTTGGAGGTGGATTTGCAAAAACAGGTGGTGGAGCCGAATATCCAGGAGTTTCTCGAAAAAATTCCCACTGACCATTATTTTGATTTTGTGCACTTGAGGCCTGTGGTACACTTTGAAAAGGTTGCCTTTGATGCTCTTCGGGCACCAGGTTTTCACGTGAAGGGGGCGCCGAAGAAGAAATTGGAAAGTTCCTACCTTGTTCGTTGTCTTGAGCTGCATGTGATGGAGATCTTACGTGGTTTGGAACGTCAGGGCCGCCCCTCAAATCTGCTACCCTGGATGGAGGAATTCCGGTATTGCTGAGGACTCTCCTCCTCAGATTATAACTAGCCGATGATGATGGTGTATTATTTCCTTCCATAATTCCGAAAAATTGCCTACGAGTTGGTCGCCAAGATGAAACGGAACGTCTCAGGGGTTGAGTGGGGTTGGAAAAATAATTCGGAATAATAGGCGGAGATTTGGCTTTTATTATTCAATGGCAGTTTTGGGGGAAATTGTTCAGTATCACCTTCGTCTGAAATAACATAACAATGTAGTACCCTATCGTACAGAATAAAATGATTTTCGGTGTTCATAGCAAAAAGGTAGTTGTGCCGAAAATCACACTCTCAACAATAACATTTGAAAATTTCACAGTTATCAAAAGTATTGAATATACAAAATACAATTATCACACAGATTTCCTTACCTGAAATAACATAACACCAGGTAAAAATCACAATAAATTGTATGAACAAGAATTAGCGATTTCAAATACCAACAGGGTTGCTACTTAATCAAATACCGAAAATGAACTGCCTGTATTCGAAAAGAATGAGTACCGCAGTGGTTTTTCTGAAACATAAAAACTAGACCCTAAATATCGCGAGATATCGTGCATACTTACTAGAAACTAGACTGATATCCATATATAGAGCTATAGGCAACTTATGTTACATTTAAGTGTGTTGTTGGTAAACTATTCTGCTTCATCACCTTCTGGTAGTTAAGAATCTGATGATCAACTAGACCTTTCTCGAAGCAAGCTTCAAACGATCGTGAGACAAAATACCTTTATATAATCGGCCACTTCGTTGTTCACTTACAATGTCCTCGACTATGTATCTATCTTTATCTAAGACCCGAGTAACTTCATAGGGTCCCCTGAATTTTGGTTCTAATTTTCGACTATCCCCTGTACATGGAATTTGATCTTTGACCATAACTAAATCGCCTACCGAAAATGTTTTCGCTGCCGATCGACGCGTATTATAATACCTAATCTGTTTTTCCCTATTGCTTTCTAACAAATCTGCCACTTTTTCCGTTTCTTTTACTTCATGATCACTTTCTGAAAGACTTTCCGTAGAGTTAACTTCTCTACTCGCTTTTCTACTTGCATTTAATTTATGTATTTCAACCGTTAACGGATTATCGTGCAGACCAATACCCTTATGCTTGAAAACTAACTGAAATGGTGTGCATTTTGTAATGCGGTGTACAGAATTGTTCAAACTCCGCTGTATGTCAAACAATTTTTGGTCCCAGTCTGGATCTTCCGAATTACAATCTGAACTAGCTGACAAACAATTTAGGATTGTTCTATTAAAACGTTCAATTTGCCCATTTCCCCTACTAGATCAGTGCGTATTTCTTCTGGCACATATAATCTCAATATGTTGTTCTTTAGTCTATAAACACGTGCATTGCACAAGGTAAACTTTTTGTGAATGTTTGCATCACCTTTTTCTAATTTTTCACATACTAAAGTGATTTCTGGACAAGTACGTTGCATTGCTGCAATCCAATCAGTACTAACATTGATGTGCATTACTGGTAGTCCTACAAGTTCAACTTCCTGGCTGGCTTCCACAGGATATCGACTAAGAGAATCAGCTACAGTATTCATGGAGCCTGCATGATACTCAATGGTATAAGTGTATTCTGACAAATGGATAAACCATCTTCCTATTCTTGGATTGAGATCTCGTTTATTTTCTAATAATTTCAAACTATTGCAATCTGTACGAATAGTGAAATGAATTCCGATCAAATATACTCTAAATCTTTCAACAGAAGTAACTATCGCAAGTGCCTCTAATTCATACGAATGATACTTAGCTTCCTCGGGAGTCGTTTTTCTACTGAAATAACTGATAGGATGCAGTTTTTTGTCTGACTGTTCTTGATAAAGAACCCCACTCAACCCTACTTGACTGGCGTCAGTATGTAATTCAGTCCTGGCGTGTGGATTATAAGCACAAAGAATAGGTGCGCTGCCCATCATCTGTTTAATCAAATTAAACGCGTTTTCCTGTAAATCTGACCAAGTAAAATTGGCATTTTTTCTCAACAAATCAGTTAATGGTCGAATTACTATGGCAGAGTCTTTCACAAATCGCCTGAAATAACTTGCTAAACCTATAAAGCTTCTAACAGCCCTAACATCTTTGGGTTGAGGAAAATTTGAAATGCTGTTTAATTTCATTCTTCCTGGGGCAATTCCGTCTTTATTTATTTCAAATCCCAAGTAATAAATTTTACTTTTGAAGAAGTGGCACTTATCTAACCTCAATGTTAGATGTGCTTCACGCAGTGCTTCCAAAACTTCAGTTAAAGTACTCAAACCTTCTTCAACTGTTTTTGAGGGAATAATTGTGTCATCCAGATATGAAAGTGCTACATTATATTTCAATTTTCCCAAAATTAGATTCATAAGTCTCTGGAAAACAGATGGCGCGTTGCATAGCCCAAAAGCCATTCTTTTGAATTGATATGTTCCATCTGGGGTGATAAAGGCAGTTTTGTCTTTAGATTCATCGTCCATTGGCACCTGGCAGTATCCGCTACGAAGATCTAAACAAGTGAAATATTGCTTTTCGTGCAAAAGATCTAATTGATCATCGATCCTTGGCAAAGGATAATGATCTTTGATTGTGAACTTATTTAAGGCCCTATAGTCAATACAAAGTCTAACATCACCAGTTTTCTTTCTCAATAAAATACATGGACTGGCATATTGTGATACAGAGTCCTCTATAATGTCGGCATCTTTCAATTCATCAACAATATCACGAATAGTTGCTTTTTCTGAATAAGAAAGCCTGTATGGTTTATAATAAATCGGTTTATCAGATGAAAGTTCAATTTTCATTTCCACTTTATCTGTTACACCTAACTGTTTCATATTTTTCGCTATGACATCTCTAAATTTGTTGAGCAGATCAAGCAATTTCTTAACATCATCTCCTACCAATTCGGTGTTGATTTCTTCAAGAAGAATCTCGTCAGTATTTATTTCCCTATTATTTGAGGTTATTACATTTTCTTTTTCAGCATCTTCACAAATTTCCGCTCTAGTTATTGTGTCACCTTTTGAAAATTTCAAATCGCTACCTGATATGTTCATAATAGGTAAAATAGAATTTCCTTCATAATTTGTTTGGACAATACATCTAGGAATGGCACATCCTTCCCGGAGTCCTCCTTCAATACATAATTCGTAATTGCTCAAATCACTAGTAACGGTGATATGTCCTAAATAATTATTTGGAATAGTGATATCACTATCTGATCGTAAAACAGTTTTGGATTACTTGATGCCTGGATATCTGGCATTTCGTCATCGCAATATTCGATTCTCAGCTCATTACTTTTAGAAATTATTTGAATATTAGGTTCCGTAAAAGGATGTCCCACAATCAAAGGAACATTTTGTGAATCTTTGGGAACTACATGAATCCTAACCTTAGCTGTCACATCATCTATCGATAAAACACCTGTGAACAGACCTAATGGTTTAACTAGTCCATTTCCATAACCTACTAATGGCTGGGTATCTATTTCATAGAATGAGAAACATAAATCATCTTCTCGAATAGTTACACAACTACTTCCTAAATCTATATAACATTTAGTTCTCTTATTATTTACATAAGCGTCTTTAAAATATTTAGAATGAGAGTTGTCATTGCCAATAGTCAAAACTGATTGACTTTCTGTGACAGAATCAATAACTGGATGCTGATTCACTGGATCGGCTTGGTTATTTGTTTGATAACGTTTCTGAGGACATTCTCTAGCATAATGTCCTGTTTTTGAGCATTTAAAACAAGTTACAGTTCTTGTTTTACGAGAAGTATCTCCAGTCTTGTTTACCACTGAGCTATTGTTGACATTTTTGTCTAAGTAAGTTTTTGGTTTACTCACCGGAAAATGTCTTCTCATATGTGCTGCACCCGACTTCAAGTCTGGCAATAATTGGTTCATTTTTTCATTCCTGCTTAATGGACCAAGATAATCTCTGAACCTACTGTCATTCAATCCATGGACAATCCATTCGATGGTTTCTGACTCTGACATCTTGCACTTGTTACATTTGGCAAGTTTTTCAAAGAAATACTCGACGATCTCTTGATTCGGCTTCCATCTATAATTTTGGGCTTCCAAACGAAGATCGACTGCTGAACTAGATTGGATGGAAAATGTTTCATCCAAGATTTGTTTCCAATCATTCCAAGTTCGAGTTCCGCATGGCAAGCTGTCCCGCCAAATTTTGGCTACGCCGACTAGTTTCGATAAGGCATAATGTTTAACAGCCGTTTCGCCCCAGTCGTACAATTCGCCAAATTCTTCAATTTTTTCTATCCATAAACTTATAGAAATATTATTCCTCACTGGATCAAATGCCGGTAAAACACTATCGACATTCTGAAAATAACGTGGATTTCCATCTGCGGTGTTGTCGTTACTTCCCGTCGAGTTCGGCATCCTTATGGCACTCCGGGATATTATATAATTGACCCGGGTTCAAATCACTTGAGCCCCTTATGTCACTTCGCAATAATATCCAGTCCAAGATCACAACCGCAAGCTCGAGTGTCCTTTGTATATCGCATACAAATCAAGTAAACATCTCGACCATTATGTTCAAACATGCCAACTGTGGACATCTCTAAAGATCGGTTCCGTAGTTTTTCGCATTTGAAATTAGCTGATCCGAATTTCAGTGTCTCTCAACCTGTCGATATGCTGCTTGGCGCCGACATTTTCGGTTTCCTGCTCAAAGGAAGTACCTTGTGCTCTTCAGTGAATGAACGGGTCGCAATAGAAACCATTTTAGGGTGGGTTATCATGGGAAAAATAACTAATAAATCATATTCAGAATCACTTGTTCATCATACATTTTTCACTTCAACTGAGTAATCTT